GCTTTGTGCTAGCAAAGTTGAACCTAGAGCCAGAAGGAAAGGAAGAACCTCACCAAAGATGACTGGATCAGAAGTCCACGACGATGCGGAGAAGCACCGTGGAAGGGATACCGTGAAGAATCCCAAACCAAAGGGTGACAAGTCAAGCACTCGTGATCCTATGACGTCTCTAGAGAGGCGTGTCTCTAGAATGGAGGTGAAGTTGGCGGAAGACATCAGTGCCATCGAGGATTTGGGAGCAAACTTCACCCAAGTCGAAAGCGATTTTCAAGGTATGAATGCTCGTTTGTCGAGCTTGGAGATTGGTAATGATGGCTTACGAGAAGAGCTTGTGGCCCTCATCAACAACACCATCACCACATCCTTGAACAACGCCATTGGAGTTGTGAAAGAGCAAGTCCAGGCTGAGCTGGTCGGCGTGAAGGAGGAGATTGCAGATCTCAAGAGTGAGGTTACTCTCGCGAAGAGAGCCATGGCTAGCGGACCAGCCACGGTGCAATCCGTCCCACGTGCTGATATTCCAAGACCAAAGAGCTTCGGAGGTTCAAGGAATGCGAGGGAGTTAGAGAACTTCCTTTGGAGTCTTGAGCAGTACTTCAAGGCGTCCGGCATCCAAGAGGATGAGGTAAAGATTCGTACCGCTCCACTTTACTTGGTTGATGTTGCCATGGTGTGGTGGAGGCGACGTGAAGCGGATGTCGAAAGAGGTACTTGTGTGATGGTAACGTGGGAAGATTTCAAGAGAGAAATCAAGAGGCAGTTCTACCCAGAGAACGTGGAGTTTGAAGCCCGTTCGAAGTTGATAAGACTCACCCAGAGGGGTGGAGTTCGAGAATACGTGAAAGAATTCTCGGAGCTGCTTCTAGAGATCCCGGACATCACGGACAAGGAGGCCATGCACGGCTTTCTTGATGGGCTGCAACCATGGGCCAAGATGGAGATGCAACGTCGAGGAGTGCAAGACCTTGCAACTGCCATGGCCACGGCGGAGTCTTTTGTCGAGTACAAACGACAAGAGAGCAGCGGCAAAGAGAAGAGTTCGAAGCCCAACAAGGGTGGAGAACAGCAGAAGCCTTTCAAGGAAGGTTCTCGCACTCAACAACACCAAGGTGGTTCGAGCAAAGGGGGTAAGTACGAGCCAAAACTCATGACTTGTTTCCTTTGCGACGGACCACATCGAGTGCGAGATTGCCCAAGGAAGGCGAGATTAGCAGCCATGGAAGCTCAAGATGAGGAGCCCAAGGCGGCGGAGGCCAAGATTGGCTCAATCCGCAAGCTTGGCGCGGCGAAGACCGACGTCAAGGAGAGCAAGCGGGGGAGGTGCTATGTTCTGGCGCAATTCATGCAAGGCGAGTCAAAAGCCTTGGTGGATACCGTTGCCACGGACAACTTTCTTCGCGTCGAGGAGGCAAACCGGCTGGGTATTGCCTACGAGAAGGGGCAAGGGAGGCTCAAGACGATCAATTCGGAGTCCATCCCGATCCATGGAGTTGCTCACAACGTACCAATGAAGCTTGGCGAGTGGGAAGGCCTCATCGACTTTTCCGTCGTCACCATGGACGATCACCCAGTCATCCTCGGCATCCACTTCCTCGACAAGGAGGGAGTGCTTTTGAAGCCCAACTCCAACACGATGTGCTTGGAGAAAGAAGGGGAGTTCCATTCGGTTCATCTCTTGAGAGAAGATGGTCCCCATAGTGCTCTATCGGCCATGCAAGTGGTGAAGGGGTTCAAGAAGAATGAACCAACCTTTCTTGTGTCCTTGAAGATGGAGGAAGAAGGAGGCTCAACGGGAATCACAACTCTCATCATCGAAGGTGTCCTCAAAAAGTTCGATGATGTGATGCCATCGGAGTTGCCCAAGAAGCTGCCACCAAGAAGAGAGGTGGACCACAAGATCGAGTTGGAGCCAGGAGCGAAGCCCCCTTCGCGAGCACCATACCGCATGTCGCCACCGGAGTTAGAAGAATTGCGGAGGCAACTCAAGGACTTGGTGGACGCAGGCTACATGCGGCCATCGAAGTCACCTTTTGGAGCACCAGTGCTGTTCCAAAAGAAGAAGGAAGGGTCGTTGCGGATGTGCATCGACTATAGAGCCATCAACAAGTTGACGGTGAAGAACAAGTGGCCGATTCCCAACATTGCCGACTTGTTCGACCAGCTTGGAGATGCAATGTGGTTCACCAAGCTAGATCTTCGCTCGGGCTACTATCAAGTGCGGATAGCAGAGGGCGACGAGCCAAAGATGGCTTGTGTGACGAGGTATGGCTCTTACGAATTTCTTGTGATGCCATTCGGTCTCACCAACGCACCAGCCACGTTTTGCACTTTGATGAATCAAGTGTTCGAGCCATTCTTGGACCGGTTTGTCGTGGTCTACTTGGATGACATCGTCGTGTATAGAAAAACACTCGATGAGCATGCCGAGCACCTACGCCAAGTCTTCCAAGTCCTTCGCGACAACGAGTTGTACGTCAAGAGGGAGAAGTGCACATTTGCCGCCACGGAGGTTCCATTATTGGGGCACATCATTGGTGGAGGCAAGTTGAAGATGGATGGAGCAAAGGTGCAGGCAATCCAAGAATGGGAGCCGCCGACGAAGGTGCCAGAGTTGCGGTCATTCCTCGGCCTTGCCAACTACTATCGGAGGTTTATCAAGGGCTACTCCAACATTGCAGCACCCTTGACGGATCTCTTGAAGAAGAACAAGGCGTGGGATTGGTCGGAAAGGTGCCAAGAAGCGTTTGAGGCCTTGAAAGCAGCGGTGATGAAGGAGCCCGTTCTCGTGCTCCCCAACCCAACGTTGGCCTACGAAGTGCAGACCGATGCATCCGACTTTGCAATTGGGGGCGTGCTGATGCAAGAAGGGCATCCCGTTGCCTTCGAGAGTCGGAAGCTCAGCGAGACGGAGAGGCGATACACCGTTCAAGAGAAGGAGATGACGGCCGTGGTGCATTGCTTGCGCACATGGAGGCACTACTTGTTGGGGTCAAAGTTCGTTGTGAAGACGGACAACGTGGCAACGAGCTACTTTCTGACGCAGAAGAAGCTCACCCCTAAGCAAGCGAGGTGGCAAGACTTTTTGGCCGAGTTCGACTTCGTCATGGAGTACAATCCAGGCAAGGCGAATTCCGTTGCCGATGCTCTTAGCCACAAGAGTGCAGCCGCAAGCATCAGCCAGCCCACGTTTCCTTTGAAGGAGCGGATCGTTGAAGGCCTTGGCCATGACCCCTTCGCCAAAACCGTAGCGGAGTACATTGAGCAAGGTAAAACTCGGCGGTTTTGGATGAAGGATGGGCTCATCATGACCAAGGGAGAGCGGGTGTTCGTGCCAAGATGGGCCAACTTGAGGAAGGAGATCATGAAGGAGTGCCATGATTCCAAGTGGGCGGGCCATCCCGGCATCGAGAGAACGCAAGCGCTCATCGAAGAAGCATATTTCTGGCCGCGTATGAGAGACGACGTGGAGATGTATGTGAAGACTTGTCTTGTGTGCCAACAAGACAAGATGGAGCAGAGAAGCCCGGCAGGCTTGCTAGAGCCCTTGCCCACGCCTCAACGACCATGGGAGAGTGTGAGCATGGACTTCATCATCGGACTTCCCAATGTCGATGGATGCGGTTGCATCATGGTTGTGGTGGACAGATTCTCGAAGTATGGAGTGTTCATTCCTGGGCCAAAAGACTTAACGGCGGAGGATGCGGCACGACTATTCTTCAAGAGCGTGGTCAAGTATTGGGGCATTCCTAGCAGCATCGTGAGCGACAGAGATGGGCGCTTCACGGGCAGATTTTGGCGAGAGTTGTTCAAGATCATGGGCTCAAACTTGAACTTCTCGACGGCATTTCATCCTCAAAGCGACGGACAGACGGAGCGGGTGAATGCCTTGTTGGAAGTGTACTTGCGGCACTACGTGAGTGCAAACCAAAGAGATTGGGTGAAGTTGATGGACACGGCGCAGTTTTCCTACAACTTACACCGCAGCGAGTCGACCAACACGAGTCCATTTGAGTTGGCGACGGGGCAACAACCTTTGACACCTACGACGGTGGCAACGGGGTATAGAGGCAACAGTCCGGCGGCCTACAAGTTCGCTAAAGGCTGGCACGAGAAGATGGAGATGGCCAAGTCTTACTTAGCCCGCGCTAGCAGGAAGATGAAGAAATGGGCGGACAAGAAGCGGCGGCACTTGGAGTTTGAAGAGGGAGACATGGTGATGGTCAAGTTCTACCCTCATCGCTTCAAGCATCTCAAGAAAGTGCACAAGGGACTGCTTTGCCGCTATGAAGGGCCATTCCCCATCGTGAAGAGGATTGGCAATGTGGTATACAAGGTAGAGCTGCCGACGCACTTGGAGATCCATCCGGTCTTTCATGTGAGCCAACTCAAACCTTACCACGAAGACAAGGAGGACGAGCAGCGAAGGGAGCCGCAGCGCGCACCAGCACTCGTCACCAAGACACACGACCATGAAGTCGAAGAAATCATGGCGCGTCGTGTCATTCCTCGTCGCGGCGTACATCCAAGCTTTGTGGAGTACTTAGTCAAGTGGCACAACCTTCCGGAGAGTGAAGCAACATGGGAGAAAGAGCTCACGCTTTGGAAGAACAAGGACTTGATCGAGGCATTCCATCAAGAGGACGCGACGAGGGCGTCGCGAGCATAGGTGGGGGAGGATGTCACATGTGGCAGATGACATGGCGCCAAAAAGGTGACAACATGGCAGCAGCACATGTGGCATGCATGGAAGACTAGTAGCATAGAGATGCTCCTAGGATTCTCCACCATAATGTAGAGCTTTATAGTGCACTTATGAGTCACATAATGGTGACATTGATAGAGTGCATAATGGAGGGACTTAATGGGGTGTATTGATGTAGTAGAGGGACTTTATGAGGGGCATTGATGCCTTGTATGTGGAGAGGCCTATATAAGGAGCCATCTCCCTCATTTGTACTCATTCCATCATTTTTTAGAGTAATACACCCTAGAGAGTTCTCCCATTTCCTTTGTCTTTGTTCTTGTTCTTTGCTTTCAAGTGAGTTGAGAGAAAGGCTGCCTAGCGCTCTAACGGAATTCAGAGCTAGGGCCGCACGATCGAGAGTAAGTTCGTGACAGCTCCCATGGAACCCAGTTATCTTGCCCTTTCTCAAAAGGGCACGGTTGGAGTCTATTAGGCATTTTGTAGGCATAAAAGTCGATCGCCAACTCATCACCGCATTGGAGGAGAGATGGAGAAAGGAGACACATTGTTTCAATTTTCGCGAAGGAGAGTGCACCATCACACTCAAGGACGTTGCCATCCTAAGTCATCTGCCCATCGACGACAAAGCGGTGTGTGTGAGTGATCATCCCCCCGAGTATCGTGACGGTATGACCGGTTGGCAGTGTTTTATCCACAGTGTTTTGGGGGTGAGAGTACCAACCAATGGGAGCGTTAATGCGACGGATCGCTTGCCACCATTGTGGAAAGGCCAAGTATCAATCACTTGGTTGACGAAGTATTTTAGGGTCCTTCACGATCCTGGAAAAAAATGGGGTGCCCCTAACCGAGGAAAGTCCTGAAGCCAAAACCATCAATAGATGGCTTGAATGCCCAAAACATTCATCTGAAATGGCATTTGTTACCTGGCTCTGGCGGTTGTACCTCTTCATCTTGGTATCGAGGGGAGAAAACAGTGCCAGGGTTAGACGCCTCCAGTACCAAAATCAACCTGGGAAGGAATGCATATGATTCTTCCCAATCACTAAATACGGCGGCCAGAGCTTTCTGCTTTCCATGCCACGCCTTCTTATAGTAAATCATATAACAATAACGACTTGCAATGTCAGTGATTATGACTTTCACCTTCAGGTCAGGATTTTGCTCAATTAGATGCTTGATAGCCGCAGCAACCACCCTGGATTTCAACTCTCGATGGCCTTGGGATGTTATGGATGACACACATGTGTGTGTGTTCACCGCACGGGATATGAGCCAATGGTCGTGTCTCTTGCTGTTGATGGCCCGAATCCTAACATTGCATCCTCGTTATGATTACGACATCTGACTATGAGCCTTTTCGTGTTAGAATGAGTTGTGTGCCATTTAAAATGCTGATTCATTGCTTCGGTATCAATGGCATGCCGCACCTCCTTCTTTGAGCCAAATTGTTGGCCCTTCATAAACCCAGTGAGTGGACCCCATATTGGAACCTCCGGGGGTTCCATGTCGTTTTCGACCATCCAATTGTCGTCTGGAATGTGATTGTAGTAGGGGACTGGTACACGGTCATGAGCCACCTCATCATCATTATCTGAGTCTTGACTCTGATCCTGAATCATCAGCACCTTCAAGAGGGTCGGAGCTGTCTGTAGTGACGTTGTTCTCTCCTTGTTCATAGGAGGGGTCACTGACTGGTGCTGGCAGGGCATCTTCCATCTGATCCAGCTCATGAAAGGCACCTTCATCAGCTCCACAATGGTAGTTGTGAAAACTACCACTGCCTGACTGGAAGGTGTACTGGGGTTGGTTGGCATGGTCCGGTTGAACTTCTTCTTCATATGAAGGGTAAGATTGATGTTGACCTTCACCTTGATTTTGGTACTGAAAATAGGAATGAGGATCATGGTAACTTTGGTAGGGATGATCTCCATATAATTCACCTCCACCATGGAAACTAGATGTTTGACCGTCTCCAGAATGACCTCCAACACCTACGACCGGCTCGGTGTAAACGAACATCTCGGCTCTGGAAAGATTGTTGGACCTCAAGAATTCGAGCATTGCATCTACCTCATCCTGAGTGGTTATGAGATATTCCTCGTGCCACAATGGCCCGCCTTCTCTGTTTGGATATCGGTACACCATACGATCAACTCTTCTCGTGCCATCCATGCAAGTAGCGTTAGTACACATTTGATAGAGGTCTTCAAGCATCGGTCTGGTAGCGACCTTTATTTTCTGAAAATTGCCACTGACGTAGGTGACCCCCTTTCCGCTCTCTTCCGTGTAACCATTCCACTGTAATCCAAGCGTGAACTTTTAGAATGCCATCTGCAAAAAAACAGTAGTTCAACTAATATCGTAAAAATCACAATTCACAATTTACAATAAAAAGTAATACAAAATAAACTTACGAGTTAACATTAACCGCAAAAACACTAGAGAAATAGGGAGCTACAACAGAAAATTGAAAAGGGAGAAGGAGAGGTGTGAAGAGAAGAGATTTCCTGGACTGCCTTTTATAGGCAAAATCATCAATGAAAACCGCACCTCTAAGGTGCGGTTTTCATCTGCCATGCAACCCCACGTCTGTCAAATTGCATGGCTGCATGTCTGGTGTCGAAAAATAATTGACACACAAACCGCATGGGGGGTGCGGTTTGTGTTGCCAAAACCGCACTTTGAGAGTGAGGTTTGTTTTGGAGAAGCAAAACCGCATCCCCAAAGTGCGGTTTTGCTAGGTCAGGACTAGACCGCATCTGGGCCATGCGATTTGGTTAGTTCAGACCGCAAACCGCATGGCCAAGATGCGGTTTTGGCCCAGAAAGCTAAACCGCACCTTGGTGGTGCGGTTTAAATACAAAACACACCAGGGGATGCGATTTTTAAAAAAGGGTGCTATTTTTGTAATTTCTACGCAATGGGTGCTATTTTTGTAATTTTTTTAAAAGTGCTATTGTTTCGTTGGCGAAACTCGCGTGTTCAATGCGCGCTGTTTTCAAGTAAGCACAAACACACAGTCAGCAAAACCGTCAAATATCCGTCGCCGAATGTCGGCGCCGTTGATTTGATCGATTAAAACAGAAATCAGGACGACCGTCAAATATCCACCACCGGCGTCGGCGATGTTGATTTGATCGATACACCTTTGACTTCTAATCAAACAACCGTTATTCCGTTCACCACCTCTCCAAACTATGTTCGAACGAGGGTGTTCGGCGAATAACCAGAAAATCGAACCAGGTGTTCTAAGTTACGTTACCTCTACTCCTATGGAGGTTCCTCTGGAGAGCTCCGCGACTACGACTACAACTACTACGACTCTGCAAAGGAGGTCTTTGACAGAGAAGTTCTACGAACTAGAGAGAAAAAAGATAAATCTGCGACGGTGCAGTTTGAGATTTGATTTTGCCGTCCAGAGCTTCTCTATCTTCCCAATCTTTATACTTCGCGCTTCTCCCCGTCGTAGTAACTGCCTTGGCGCCTCTGTCTCCCACGTCTTCATTCCTTTCAACCGTGCAGGTAACTTCCTCCTTGTTGCGTGATAATCACGTGCCCTCGAGACCGCTCTTGCTTTGCAGAAACTTGGCGAAACGACTTACAACCTTGTCCATGTAATGATGACGTTTCACCAATACCACGACATCGCCTTTCACCAACCGATGCCGTTTTATAATCCAACTCAACTGCCCCGACCCGGTTTAACCAACGACATTGTTAGTCCATCAAACAACGTCGTTCTCTACTCTTGCGACGTCGTTGGGCTTGGCGGGCTGGCTTCGGCCAAACTCTTACCACTACCGCGATGTCGTTTTACTTTTCCGCGACATCACTTTTCATTAAACGATACCGTCTAAAATAATCATAAAATTAACTCGCCGTCAAACTTTCACCCCTCGGCGTCGTTCTTAGTTAAACAACATCGTTTCCTTGTCCCGCGATGTTGTTGAACTTTTGAGCTTCGCGACACTGTTTTAATTTTAAACACTGTCGTTTTAACTGTTGCGGCATCGTTTGGCCTACTCGCGGCCCTGCTTTATAATCCGCGGTGTCGTTTCTTTCCCCTTGCGGCATCGTTTTCAACTAAACGACACCGTCCCAAACAGTCATTAAAATATTAATTGATCAATCCGGCCATCACAAGTCAAATACGCGTGTTGACCAACGACATCATTAGCGCCAAAACGGCTCCGTTTGCTTTTCCTTTCGCGACATTGTTTGTTATTTTAAACACTGTCGTTTGCTAGTACAACGGCACCGTTGGGCCTACTCGCGGCACTGTTTTGAACTTAAATGACACCGTTGATATAGCCGAGACAAATTCCATGGAACCACCGCCAATCAGCACTCGCATTGGACTAGGCGAATTTTGGTTTAATTAATCGGTACCGCTTACCAGGCTCTCGCGGCATCGTTTTTAAAACCGCGGTACCGTTTTAATTCTCCACGGTACCGCTTGTCTCCATGTGGCGCCGGTTTCCCCTTTCGACAAGGAATAAAGAGAATAATAATTAATTAGAAAAAACTCCTTCTCGAACTACAACTAAACGCGCGGCCCCTCTTTTGTTTTTTGGTGACCGGTGTCGTTTCCAGTGTCGCGGTACCGTTGAGCTTCCTTGCGGTACCGTTTTTTGTCCGCGGTATCGTTTTAACTCTCCGCGATACCGCTTAATTTCAAACGACGCCGTCTTTTACCCACGACATCGAATTAAATGTCGAGACTAATTAATGCGGCATTTAATTTCGGCCGAATTAATTTTTATGTGTCAACAAATGCCCCCCACAATTTGGTTTATAAGGATTATGAACCAAATTGTTGACCAAATAGTATAACACCTAAAATACTTGGCTCAAAGTGTTTAAACGAACTAAACATGTAGGCCAAAGTTAACAATGAAGTCTTTAATTACCACTTATATAACTCTCATGCATGGCCGAATGATTTTGGCACCAGCATTGCGGCTAATTGCAACAACGCGACCCAACTTTTCCCCTTTTTTTTTCTACCAGCGCTGCAAGCATTAATTAAAATAATAATAATTTTTTTTTATCATCACCGCCGTTAGCAGCAGCAGCGCTGCATGCAGAAATTTTTTATTTATATTATAATTTTTTTTTCGTTATTCCCTACCAGCGCTGCAGCTAATTTTTTTCTTTTTTCAGGGCTGTTAGCGGCAGTGCTGAGAGCTTTTTTTACATTTTTTTTTTGGGCTGCTTGGCCGCCAGCCTCTGCCCCTTTTTTTTCTCTTTTTTTCCATGGCTGTTAGACAAAGTCGTGAGAGTTTTTTTTTCTTTTTTGTTTTAGTCACGGCTGTATGGCCGCCCCTTTTTTTTATGCGGGGCTGTAAAAAAAAAGGCCACAAGCTGAGACTTTCTTACTCCCTCTTTTTTTTTTTATCATCATCAGCGCTGTTAGCCCACAGCGGCAGCTCTGCATGGCAATTTTTTTTTGTTTTGTTTATTATTCTGGGCTGTTAGCGGCAGTCTTTTTTTTTTTCCGCCAACCCAGCTTTGTGCAACCAAACCCGGCCAAGTTCCCTTTCCTCCTTCCTGCAACGCTGTAGAGCCACCCGCTATTGTGGCCAAATTTATTTATTTATTATTATTTATTTAAAAGCAATTTTGGCCGAAAAGATTTGGCCACAAGGTTGAATGGCAAACAACTTTGTTTAGTGTTTACTCTTTCATCAATGTTGCAGCTGAACTTCCTTTTATTTATTTATTTATTTATAATTCTGCATTGCTGCGGTCACAGACCTGTTGTGTTACAACTAATTAATATTGTATAGAATTTGGCCAACTATGCCAATTAAGTGGCCGCATAGGACTATGAGACTTGTTCCTCTCCTATTCTAATAAAGGAAAACCAACCGAGTCATTTACCACAAGGCCGGATAATCATGCACCAGTTGGCCGCAATGCTGTTTTGGCAAAATTAAAGCAAGTTGCAATGTTGTTTTAAATGAGATTTCTCCACCACAAACCTGTGGCTCGAATAAGACCAACATTGTTGTCCTGCACAACAATCCCTTGCAGTGCTGCGGGAACTACATTGGCCAATCCTAGTCCTTTTTCAACAAGGAACATAGTAATAAAACCATCATGTTTGGTTTGCTTATTTTCTATTTAATTTAATTAGAGTAGCTTCTAACAAGACTCTCTTCTCAAGCAGCGTTACGGGCAAAGGATTCAAGTCATGCCTCACAACGATGTTGGGACCAAAACAACGTTGTTGAGAAGAGGAACCCAAGACGGTGCCGCGACAATTCTTGGGACCAAAACAACGTTGTTGAGAAGAGGAACCCAAGACGGTGCCGCGACAATTCTTCCATTGCCACATAGACCAAAACGACCATGATTGGCCCTCCATCCCTTCTTTGTTAAACAACTTTGTTTTTTTTATGGTATAATATATTAGTCCTTTGCTTCCGCGGCACCGTGCCCCCCAACAATGTTGTTGATATGAAAAGAAAAATAAAGCGGCACCACTGCTACGTGGCTTAGGCAAAAATGGCAATGTTTGGTCATTATTTCCTAATCAACCATTATCAAAGAAAATTAAAAGTAAAGCCATGTTTAAAAGTAATTAGCGGATCATATTTAACAACTCTGGCTTAAAGAAAACAAACCATTTAGCCAACACAACCATACACCAACAGCCTTGACTATGTTAATGCAATGCCGATGGCATCTATGTAGCTCAGTCATGAATGAATCTAAAATAAAAAGCGATAAACTGGCTATACAACATTATTGCAACATATCCATGCTATATTTCCTAACATTCACACGTAAAACAATCTTTGAAGCCATTCAGAATCAGAGTTAACTCGTACCTGTCAGACTCATGCAAGCTGGCAATAGGAACGTTGAATGTGGATCATCCTTCCCGCCAAAGTTTATTTCTTCCACAATGTCGCAGACAGCGCCGTCGCTTCCTCTCCCAACTTGTTACTCGCATCCTCGCCGTTGATCGGCAACCCCTCTATCAAGGCCGTGATTTCGGCCTTCTCCACCCTCTCTTGAGGTGGCTTACTCTGATTTTGGTGGACCACCTAATGCACGCATTGATGGTCTCACAATTTCAGACAAGTGGTTCAACACCTGTGCACTTGACACTATGACGTTGGGCGTTCCTCCATCCCCGCTCCTGATTTTGAGTGGTCCAAAATCCCCATGGTACAAGTAAGCTTCGGCCACGTTGGCCCCAACGGCAAACGGCTTTGCATCAGCCTGGACCACCTCAACGATACCGCCTTCATTCCAGAGCATCAAACACTGATGTAGCGATGAAGGAACACACTTGTTGGCGTGGATCCAATCCCGACCAAGTAGTGCGTTGTAACTTATCATTCCATCCACCACGAAGAAAGCACTCATCCGCTTCTGTGATCCAACTCCCACAACAACTGGGAGGATTCCCCTGGCAGAGGTGGACCCGCCATTGAAACTTGTCACAAACACTTCCGTTGGGATCAAGTCATTAGTGCTCTTGCGCAACTTCTTAAGCATCCTTGTTGGCATCACATTTACTGCAGCGCCATTGTCAACTAAGACTCTCAACATTGGTACGTTATCAAGTGTGGCCTTGATGTAGAGAGGTCTCAAATGACGCATCATCTTCGGTTCGGATTCGTTGAAAACAACGACCCTGTTTGATTCCTCACCCGTGGTTCCTTCGTCCACGGCTTTCCCTTTCGCTTCTGCAGCTCAGAGAGATTTCTCCAGCTCGTCGAAGTCTGATCTCCATGTGATGTTCTCCACTGTCACACTTGTTGACTCTTTCGGGCCTTGGTATAACACGTAAAAAGGATATCTTCCCCCCTCTTCGCCCAGTAGCCCAACAGCTTTGTGGCCAGCTTCGTACAGTTCTTTCAGGATCCGCTGCGAACTCTTGTTCTGTTTGGCTGACTCTACTGCCAAGTCAATTTGACCATTCGTGCGAGCCATCATTGCACTCCACGACTCAGCCTCGATTGGCAGATCCGCAGACTCGCCAACCAGCTCTGCCGCCGCTGGCTCCTCATTCTCCTCCTCTAAAGTCAGTTGAGCGAAACCGCTCACCAGTTCAGCAACATTGACCTCCTGAGCAGCTTCGTCCAGTTCTTCAACTTCCATCATGACCTCGCCATCCTCTCCCTGATTTTCCAAATCAATGTGGAAGATCAATGGCAAGATGTAGTTGTTCACCACCACTGGTGGTAGGCTTCCAAACTGGATCGTCATGGGAGCACCTTGGTTGTCATCATCGTCATCCTTGTTCTTTCGATCAAATTTCGACTTTGGCTCCTCCAATTCCAGCATCTCCTCTTCGATAAAGGAGTCATCCACTTCAGCATCGTACTCAGCCTCTCCCGGGACTCCTTGCTCGTTCCCGTCCCGCTTGTCCTCTACAACTTTTCCAGCACCGGCCACAGTCACTCTCAGACCCGTGGTAGAGTTATCCACATTAACATTTGCTTGCAAGCTTGCAATCCTCCTTCCTTGAGCATTCTTGCGGAGGTACCTTTGATACTACGTCCTTGTCATCTGGTCAACGACGATAGGCTGCTGACGACGGACATCGTAGGTGTGCCAACCACCCTGTGGCACATTTGGCATCCTGAAAGTTCTCCTGACAGGTGGGGGACCTCTCACCGGTCGGGCAAGTCCAAAAGGCAGACTTTTGAAAGGTGGGGCACTTTGAGCAACCCCCTGCCTACGTTGCCCTCTTCCCCAGGCAGGTGCATGTACTCCCTCGACACTGCATTCATATGAGGGGTACCTCGGCTTGAACTGTCGTGGTCCCAATCTCTGGTGGACCGACTGGCTTGGTCCTGCTCCCCCAATGTTCAGCTTCCCACGACACTGGGCGCAGAGCTTCTCTTCCTCAGCTGGGTCCAAGCGTGGCCCCTCCTGCACTTGGGATGATGAAGCACCTTGGGCCACATCAGAACTACCACTCGGCGGTGGCGTTGTATCCACCACCAGCTTGAAACGTGGCAGGTTGATCTTAGAGAAATCAGGATTGACCATGTTGACGCCGACCACGTTTGGGAAAGGGTCTGTGTCAACAATCATGGCCTCCTTCCTCGGCTCTGGGAACTTGAACCGACCCTTCTCAATTGCATCCTGCACAACGTTGCGAAACAAAACACACATGTTAGTTGAATGAGATGCACTGTTGTGCCATTTACAGTATCGTTTCCCTTTTAACTTTTCAGCTGGCGGGATAGTATGCCCTCCAGTTAACTTAATTTGACCATCTTTGTAAAGTTGGTCGAAAATCAATTCTGATTTTGAAACATCAAAGGAATATTTCCTAGTTTGAATTGGAGCACGATTGGGCTTTCCACCTTGTGGTTCCCTTCGGCCTTGGCTAGAGAAGCACACACATATGGCTTCCCCTGCACAATCTCGGCCAAATCAACCTCAACCTCGTCAACATCACTGCCGACGTTATTCACACCATAGTTTTCAAAATTAGGGAAATATTGTCCATGAGAACCAATCCTCTTATGTTCTTCTTCACGAAGAAGAGATTCGTATCTAACAGCGCATGACATCAATTGAAACAGATCGGAGAACTCCTTATCTTGAAACTTTTTACGAAGTTCAAAATTCAATCCACCCTGAGCAAGTTTAACAAACTCGCGTTCTGTCAAGTTCACAAAATAGCGATTCCTTGCATTTTTAAAATTAGTTAAGAAATGTTCCACCGTTTCTCCTGGCTGTTGGCGCATTCGTGCCAAGTCTGCCATAGTTACTTCTGGCTCAGAACGGTAGAACTGGGCATGGAACATTTGTTCCATTTGCTGCCATGTTTGAACCAAGTTCGATGGCAAATTGACGTACCACGCAAATGCGGGCCCGGTCAATGAGTTGCCAAACAATCGCAACTTCAAGAAATCACTCACATCACCACACTGAACCGTGAATCGTCCAACGTGCTCGACGGTGGACTGATCTCCAGTCCCGCTGAAGGTGATGAAATCAGGTACGCGAAAACCACGTGGAAATGGGTAGTATCTATCAACCCAATCCGGATATGGTTTTCGATATATCGGCGACATCGAGGGTCTAATCCCTAAACCAAACTGATCCGCCAGCATCTGTGCTACCTGATCTCGAATCAAATTAACATCTTGCCCCCCTAGTTGCCCCCCTTGTGGTATGAATCCACCAGGATCCATGCTAAGCCCGTTTGGAGGAGGAGGGACGTTTTGCAGGTAGCCGCGTGGGGGAACATGATCATTGTTGATCGTTCCTCCACCAACACCACCGCTCATCGGAGCCACATAGGGCCTCGCCTCCGGGATATTTTGTGGACCCCCACCGTGAAACGGCGGTGGTTCAACCCGAGTGTTAGCGGCAGTGCTAGTCTCTCCAATATTAACTCGCGGAGTTGGTGGGTTCACCGCCGGTGTCGGCGGAACCCCTTTTCTTGGCGGACTGTTTCGAGCACCGTTGTTTGGAAAACCAGTTTCACTGTTTAGATTATTTTCACCGTTTAACGGCAAATCCCTAGGTTGCGTTACTGGTCTACCCAAAAGCTCTCTAATTTCATTCATATCAAGTAGATTTTTATCCACAAAAACATCAAAATCATGTCTGTTTTTAGTCACAACTTCAAAGAGTTGGCCTAAAAGCCTATCAACACGAGACTCAAGATAATCATGTCGTGCAGTTAAAGCGTCAAAACGTTGATTTACCTCGCCTTTGAAGCCTGCGAACTCATTGTTGAGGCTAGCAAACATGCGACGGTTCTCCTCCATGAAATGGCGGATTGACAAATCCTCGGTCGGCCCAGCTGCGGACGGCGGATTCCCAGACACGCCGATGTCTTCAGCAACGACTCCTTGGCCTCCTTCAATGTTGGCCACATGTTCCTCCACGAATCCGGGCGGAACATCCCCTTCCTGATTCTTTCGTCGCGGAGCCATTCGAACACACGTGTCCCACCATGTGTGCCAATTTGTTTCGTTGGCGAAACTCGCGTGTTCAATGCGCACTGTTTTCAAGTAAGCACAAACACACAGTCAACAAAACCGTCAAATATCCGTCGCCGAATTTCGGCGCCGTTGATTTGATTGATTAAAACAGAAATCAGGACGACCGTCAAATATCCACCGCCGGCGTCGGCGATGTTGATTTGATCGATATACCTTTGACTTCTAATCAAACAACCGTTATTCGGTTCACCACCTCTCCAAACTATGTTCGAACGAGGGTGTTCGGCGAATAACCAGAAAATCGAACCAGGAGTTCTAAGTTACGTTACCTCTACTCCTATGGAGGTTCCTCTGGAGAGCTCCGCGACTACGACTACAACTACTACGACTCTGCAAAGGAGGTCTTTGACAGAGAAGTTCTACGAACTAGAGAGAAAAAAGATAAATCTGCGACGGTGCAGTTTGAGATTTGATTTTGCCGTCCAGAGCTTCTCTCTCTTCCCAATTTTATACTTCGCGCTTCTCCCCGTCGTAGTAACTGCCTTGGCGCCTCTGTCTCCCACGTCTTCATTCCTTTCAACCGTGCAGGTAACTTCCTCCTTGTTGCGTGATAATCACGTGCCCTCGAGACCGCTCTTGCTTTGCAGAAACTTGGCGAAATGACTTACAACCTTGTCCATGTAACGATGACGTTTCACCAATACCACGACATCGCCTTTCACCAACCGATGTCGTTTTATAATCCAACTCAACTGCCCCGACCCGGTTTAACCAACGACATTGTTAGTCCATCAAACAACGTCGTTCTCTACTCTTGCGACGTCGTTGGGCTTGGCGGGCTGCCTTCGGCCAAACTCTTACCACTACCGCGATGTCGTTTTACTTTTCCGCGGCATCGCTTTTCATTAAACGATACCGTCTAAAATAATCATAAAATTAACTCGCCGTCAAACTTTCACCCCTCCGCGTCGTTCTTAGTTAAACAACATCGTTTCCTTGTCCCGCGATGTTGTTGAACTTTTGAGCTTCACGACACTGTTTTAATTTTAAACACTGTCGTTTTAACTGTTGCGACATCGTTTGGCCTACTCGCGACCCCGCTTTATAATCCGCGGTGTCGTTTCTTTCCTCTTGCGGCATCGTTTTCAACTAAACGACACCGTCCCAAACAGTCATTAAAATATTAATTGATCAATCCGGCCATCACAAGTCAAATACGCGTGTTGACCAACGACATCATTAGCGCCAAAACGGCTCCGTTTGCTTTTCCTTTCGCGACATTGTTTGTTATTTTAAACACTGTCGTTTGCTAGTACAACGGCACCGTTGGGCCTACTCGCGGCACTGTTTTGAACTTAAATGACACCGTTGATATAGCCGAGAAAAATTCCATGGAACCACCGCCAATCGGCACTCGCATTGGACTAGGCAAATTTTGGTTTAATTAATCGGTACCGCTTACCAGGCTCTCGCGGCATCGTTTTTAAAACCGCGGTACCGTTTTAATTCTCCACGGTACCGCTTGTCTCCATGTGGCGCTGGCCCCTCTTTTGTTTTTTTGGTGACCGGTGTCGTTTCCAGTGTCGCGGTACCGCTGAGCTTCCTTGCGGTACCGTTTTTTGTTCCGCGGTATCGTTTTAACTCTCCGCGATACCGCTTAATTTCAAACGACGCCGTCTTTTACCCACGGCATCGAATTAAATGCCGAGACTAATTAATGCGGCATTTAATTTCGGCCGAATTAATTTTTAGGTGTTAACAGCTATTTCTGGAAAAATCCCTCTGATTGGCTGGATGACGCCCCAAGGCTGAGTTTCTCTCCTAGGAAACCCTAATCCAAGATCTATATAAAAGTCTCTAGGATTTAGAACTCGGTAGCCAGTGATAGGAGACATTAGAGGATCATTACTCTGTCGATAGAGTACTCTACATCACTTAGAGAGATAGAGGTTGTAAGGAGGAATCAACGGTAGAACTGGCGCCCTCAAGCCTGATTTTTCTAGTATGGCTGCCGATTTCAGTGGTCTTCTGAGAGCTTCATTTCAATTGATGATTCCCTAAAAACTCAGTCCCATAACCGGCTAGTTCCTTTTAGCTTCATAGGTGTGCAAACCCTAAAGGTTCTGAATATGTAAAACTCGATGTTTGGTATTCAATATGACCGTTTCTATCTTATAATTGTTTGTGTATGATTTTCACTATGTTATCTCTTGTTGGTTGGAACGAATGCTTAGTCAAGCTTTCATCGTTCATGGTGCAAGTATTGAAACTCTACTCGTTTAGAGCAAGACAAGACATGATGGCTATACTCGATCGATCATCATTCTTTCTAACGGCGTGACACCTCAAGGGAGAAATCCGTAGGATCCTCGTCATCCACCGATCATCGTTCGACAAAATCCAAAAAATTGATAAACATATTTTTAATATTAACTATTAATCGTTAAACTGTAGGAAAAATAAAACATTAACAATAGGCACACTTTTTGTGGTTATTGTGGTTTAATCATTGTAATTAGTAGTTAACCAATAGCCACAACAATTACAATTTTACTAACCCCAACCAAATCACTAACCTAAAAAATGTGGTTACGTACGGTTAACCAAATTGGGTATGATTTTATGCAGTTTGGTAACCCCAAACCATATTTACACTGCTGGGCGATGGTCCGACGATGGCGATGAGCGGACGACCTTTGGATGTCGATAGGCCTTAGAGCCAAATTCATTGGGCCCGATGACAAATTAATCAGACATCATCAGCATTGGCCATTGCAACAGAAACACTTCAAGGACAAATTCAATGACGAATCAGACAGTAAACAAGGTCGCTGATTCCACTCTTTGTGCACTTGCAGCAGCAGATATACAGCGTAAAGATGATATTTTACATGGGTCTTCGGCCACGAAAATACACCCAAAAACAGAAACACATCTCTTCAATGAAAAAAAAAAAAAAGTTGAGAGGATGATTACATGCATCAATTGCCACTTAAGTTTACATTTTGTTGCACGGTGGCCACCTAAGTGTATTTTGTTGCACATAAACCATTTACGTCAAATACTAGTTGCAACGTCACCATTTCCGTCAATAAAACTAACAATAGGTACCTAATATTAATTTTCCCTGTCATGTTGGCAGTCCACATCACCTTCTGAAGCTGAGTCAGACTAGCCCACTTTATGGAGAATTTCTCCATAAAAATTGGTGCTTCCTGCGCGGAAGGATAGAGTATATTCCGGCGAGGATTTGGACTCCACTCCACCAGAAGAATCTTCCGTCACCGATGTGGATTCTACAAATAAAAGGTATAAACTGCTGCTTTGTGCATGGAATTGCCGCCGACAGCAACAACTGGGATCGCTAGAGCAGGGGACGAAGATAATATGAGATGAAATCGCCGGTGGATCCATAATCCCCGAGGAAATTTCTAATTTTGATGTCAGAAATAGATAATGATTATTCGGTCAAACAAGTTCCCCTCCATTGCATTTTTCTTGCCGTCTATTGATTGGATTTGTGAGTTCTTTTAGCCACTAAGCCAAGAACAGAGTACTCTGTTTCTTCTACAATTAAAATGGCCAAAGAAAGAAAGGTCTCTATTTTCATCACTACCACTAGTCCCCAACCCAATCACCTTCAGGAACAAAGTAAAAAGAATACTCATTGAAGAAAAATATGCATTTACTAATTCAACAAGAAACTACGCATAGCAGATACCAGCATTAATACAAAACTAGAAAAAAACAAAGACAAGCTCCATACACTCGGAACCTTAAAAAACGATCAATCCACCCAACAAAACAAACAACCGTCACGCTAATGTATTGATCGACTGATCGATCAACCCACCTTCTACTCCTTAATGCCACTATCTGCTCCCTTTCCGGCTCGAGGGCGAGAAACGGGCTCACCATCGCAAAATCATCACCCCGACTTTCCACATGGTGAATCTCAAGGTAAGAGCTTCAATTAGTTTTCTGATTAGTTTATTTCTCTTCCGGGAATAATTCTATAATTAAAAAAAGAAATCGGTGTCTTTCCTTGTTTAGTTCAGTTGATGTTGCCAGTGGTGGCGGAGAGCGTGACCGGAATGATGGACAAGTAGACCTAGGCAATGTCCAACTCCAGCCAGGTCGAGGTCGAAGTCTCCGAGTGGTTCCAGACCCGGAGGAGGACGTCATCACCCGAACCGCCTTCAGAATTAGTTACGACGACGGGAAGGCCATCTCCAGGTTCAGCAGATGCTCCTTGCCGCCAAATCTTTCCAGAAAGTTTTTATCGCCGACTACCGGTAAAAAATTCTACAGAAAAGGGTCAACGAACCCACCTTGCAAGTTGCAAGTAATAAGGGGCTCATTCTTAAAGTGGGCCAATGTGAATCAGTTTGAGAAGGTGACGTGGACTCCTGACATGGCGAGGAAAATTATATTTAGGTACCTACTGTTAGCTGTATTGACGGAAATGATAACGTTGCAACTATTATTCGACATAAATGGTTTATGTGCAACAAAATGCATTTAGGTGGCCACCGTGCAACAAAAAGTAAACTTAAGTGGTAACCGATGCAATTAACCCCATGTTACAACAATGGTGCAGCACGTTAGACACATTTATATGTAAAGCCCCATCTCCGTACTCTCTTCCCCCTTTCTGTTTCCTGCCCTTGCATAGACTCGACTCTTACCGGCTTATGCACCCTTTTGTCTTGCAAGTTTGCAGCTTCCAATCCTCGCCTTCAAAATAAATAGCTGTTACAGATGGGCGGGATCGGGTAACTTTCCACCTTTCCCTCTCAAAATTCGAAGAAGTCGGCCTATGGGTGCATCTATTTATATTTAACCGAAACCACGAAATCAAGGCACAGACAGACGATCAAAACTTTTCATCAGCTATCTTCAGGATTCGTGATAGCAGATGATGGCCCATTCAGTTGATGGTGAGCATCCGATTGGCCTTTGGCCAGCTTCTGCTGTTCAATGAACCTACTGATACGGTCAAGCAGCTGCTGAGCCTTTCGCTTTCCTCGTTCTGTCCCATTGTGTGCCAAATCCAAAAGTGGTGCCATCACTCCGAGCTCTTGTGCCTCAGCCATGTATTTCTGATCTCCAGAACAAAGATGCACCAAAACAGCAGCTGAATTTTCTCTGTTCCTTGGAGATCCACTTCCAATAACTTCAACCAAAACAGGTACAGCCTTTGCAGCACCAATGGCTGCCTTTCCATCAGGGTGGCTAGCCAATATTGCTAGTATGGCCAGCGCTTCATCAACCATCCCACCACCTGGCTCTGTAAGCAAGTGCATCAACGTGGGGACCACCCCAGCCCTCACTGCTTTCCCCTTGTTCCCCTGATAAATGCACAAGTTGAACAGTGCAGTTGCAGCATCTTTTTTCCCTCTCTGGGTGCCTTCACTCAGAAGCATCACCAGTGGGGGAATAGCTCCAGAAGCACCAATGATGACCTTATTTTCATCGACGACCGAAAGGCTGAAAAGGGTAGCAGCAGCATTCTCCCGGGCTTCCATGCTACTCTTTTTCAGCACATTTACTATACCGGGAACAGCTCCTGCCAATATGATGCTACCTTTGTTGTCCTCGCATATGGAGAGGTTAAGCAGAGCTGTCACGGCATGTTCTTGGGTGCGAGAGTCGGGCACTGAGAGGAGGCCAACTAGGAGAGGAATTGCACCGGCTTCAGCAATAGCCACCCGGTTGTCGGCATTACGCTTGGCCAGAAGACGGACCTCGCCTGCAGCAGAACGCTGATCCTCGGGAGTTCCAGACGTCAGCTTTTGGAGGAGTATTTCGATCTTTGTACGTTCGGAAGGGGAGAAGGAAGACGCCAGTTTACTGGTTCGCGAACTGCTTGGTCGTTTTGGTGGTTCGACTCCATTTGCTTCGCACCACTGGGCAATGAGGCTGCGTAGGACATAGTTGGGGGTGAGTGTGGTACCAGCAAGAGATTGCTGCGTCTTTGGGCATGTTCCATGTGTTTCCAGCCATTTCTCAATGCAGGATCGTTCATAGGTCTACAGCAAGGAAATGAAATGACGATTAAAAGTGACAGAAAGGGAGATAACAAAGCTTAGTCTCTACTTTGAGCCAATTGAAAGCAAGGATCATGAGTTCCATCAACAATTAGAAAACAGAAAAAAAGTTTAAAGAAGTGGACTGAGAAAGACTTTTTATTCTGTACTCGTTTTGATAAGCGATGCAGGTCATGGCAACCACATAGCAGTGCGAAACAACATTGGATACATTGAACTCTTACATGATTAAAAATGGAAATTTGAGATAGCACAGAGAAGTAAGTTTGTTGAACTTATATACCTGCCCTGTTGATACAATGACAGGATCTTTCATCAATTCTAGAGATATAGGACAGCGGAAATCATCTGGTATCACAAGAACTTTATGATTCTCATCGGTTGAAGCCTGTCCACTACTACTTTGAGGAGCACCTTTTCCCCCAGGAGCATCCAAGTTGGGATTCTCAGTCTGAACAAAATTCTTAATCTTTTTTAGTAGCATCCACATCTTCTCTATTTTCTCCTCAGGGTCTCCACCTGTAGCAGAAACCATCTCATGCAAAGCAAGTGACTCTTGAGTAAGCTCATCTATCCCGGTTAGTTGTAGCTTCTCAGACAATCTCCGTAGAAGAGCATGATCTTCTGACGCATCAGTAGTTTCGCCATGAAGCTTAAAGAGATCGAAATAGAGGCCCGTATCAGGGAATTCGAATTTCCCTTTGGCTCTCCTGAACTGGAAAAGGACGAGCTCAACCTGAACAAATAGCCAGAACATGCAATCAAGTAACTACTATAGCCAATAAGCACTGTCTCATAACTCGATTGTATGTCTTTGTATAAGGAGTTCTAGTGAGAGGCAAAGGGCCATTGGGGTGACCAGGAGCGGGACATCTGCCAACATATCAAAAGTATCTATCATCTGACACCTATGTACAAGATCACATTAGCACTAATGCACTATGACAGACCTATAAGGATGAATGGGTGGAAGAAGACTTGCTCAATTAAACTGGCCTATGAAGAAACCCTACTACTATGGTGATTATACAAACTACATAGGTTCACTGAGATGCCCCACACATGAACTAAACAGACATCCTAAGACCAAATGTTATAGTTGTTGGATCCCCACAAGCTGAATCTCCCACCTGTTCTTTAACTTCATCTGATATGTCAAGTTTTTCCAAAAAGATTCCACTAAGAGCTTCTTCCAACTGAAATGTCAACTCATGATACTTAACGATTATGTCCTCTCTCTCCAAGGCCTGCAAGCAAGAGTAGAAACTCTACTTTCAGATACAGTTGAATATCACAGATCAACCGAATGAAGTCAAATGAGCCCAGCAGTGAATGTTAGTTTAAATGGAAAAGAGACTAGGAAGAAAGAAAGAAAGAAAGAAAGAAAGAAAGAAAGGGGGAGAGGGGATCGGCGATGATATATAACATGCTGGAAGGAATCTAGTTCCAAAACTTGATATGTGAAAGAGACAGCCATGAAACCAAAACTATATACATTTCTGAGGCAAACAAAAAGAAGAACACAGCCAGCACAATCGAGAAAAAGCATGTTGAGGTACACTGGTACACAATATTCGGTTCTACTTGCTTGCTAATGCTAACTGATCTGAATATGACATGGAAGCCCATGTGTTAGTTCGAGAAGAAGAAAGAAGAAGAAGAAGAAGAAGAAGAGACCCAGTCAATTCTAACTGAAGGAATTGGCAGGGAAATCAGAGAAGATAACTAAACGGCGGAGATTTAGGAACTAGATGCTTATCCTAAAGTGTCTTAAACTGCTCCGATCGTTCTAATAATAACATGTAGAAATCTAATTTCTGAAAAGAAATTTTGCCACTTATATCCATCCACTTAGCTTCAGCCATTTCTTCAGCATCCAAACCCAGTTGGAAAAAAAAAAGGCACCAAAAGTTGAAACTGGGGAAAGCAAAGAAGCAGGATTCACAATCACACAAGTGAGGAAGCTCCAGAAAAAGGGCAGTAGGGTACCAGGTAAATTTTGCTGCCTTGGCTCCCGAATCTGAGCAATTCCTTGGCTGAATCGAGAGCAAACTTGAGAGACGCCAGAGAATCCAGGGTCTCGTCGGGGATCGCCTCTTTGCTCTCTTGAATTTCTTCGAACATTGGGGTCAAGAGCTTCAACCTCCGAGCTAGATTGCAGTACTGCTTCTTCACCGAGCATCTGTAATCAGAGATGGAAGCGATCTCGTCCACCGTATCTATCAGGCTCTGAACCAATAGCCTGGGAGCCTCTTCCTTGTTCTTCTTCTCTTCCTCCATATCTTCCCTTCCCCTCGGAAAGCAGAGAAGAGAAAAAGAAGAAGAAAAAGACCAGATCTTTCTTTTCTCCCAAGAGCAGAGCAGTAACGGAATTAAGATTGACCGAGTATGTCCTTGGGATGGGAAGGACAAATCTCAAGAGGGGTTGGTCTTCCCTTGACTAAACTAACTCATTAGCTTCCGAAAGAAAGACTACTGAAGAGGCCATTGTCGCTCTAGCAAGAGAAGAAGAGAGAGAGAGAGTGAGTGAAAAAGTGCCTCCCCGACCCCGCCTGTGGCGCAGTGGAGCTAAGCTGTGATTATGAGTGATTACCCCAACCCAATCAAGACCCAACCCAAGTCTTGTTCTGATTATTTATGAGGATTTGAAGTAGAGAAGACGCCGGGGTTTCCATTTTCCAAATGAGGAGAAGGCGACAGAAGACAGAAGAAGAGAGGCTCTTTTTTTTTTTTTTTTTTTCCTATTCGGAAAGCTAGTTAGTCAGCGCGTGGGTGGACTGGCACTGGCCACTGGCCCGGTGCAGCTGAGATGGAGCCAAGCTCTTCGTTTGTTTTTGGTGCGCCTTTGGATTCGTTTGATTTCCGTTAGTTAATTTAACACTGCCCGCCGGCGCCGGAGCAAAGTTACAACTTACAAGGCGGCTTCAGGCTTTCATGTTTCGTCCAGCTCTCTTCCTTTTTATTAGTAGGTAGTAGAGAAGTCGAACTTTGAAATTACTATTACTGATTCAAAAAGTTATGAGAAATTTGTTACTGTTCAAGTGCTGAGGAAAATCGGGTTCGTAGTGAGTTTCTATCAGACTTTATTTGGGACGGTGGATCAGGCAGTGAATACTAGTAAGTTGGAGCTTGAGACTCTGGTCACTAAGAGGCTGTCTGGTTAATGCTTTGTGGGGCCGTTACTTCTGAAGAGTTTAAATTAGTAGTCATGCACATGAATCCACATCGGGCACCTGGACCTGATGGATTCTCTGCTGGCTTCTTTCAGAAAACTTGGTCTATCATTGGAGAGGACATCACAGCAGCAATCCTTGATTTCTTTTCCTCTGGCAGGCTCCCTAGCAGTGTTAATTCCACTGCTGTCTCCCTGATTCCTAAGGTAACCTCTGCTTGTAAACTCAAAGATTTCAGGCCAATTTCATGCATTAACATTCTCTATAAGGTCATTGCTAAGCTTCTATCAAATAGACTAAAGAAGGTCCTCCCTAATGTTATAAGTAATAATCAATCAGCCTTTATAGAAGGGAGAAGAATAGTGGACAACATTCTTTTGGCTCAGGAGTTAGTCAGTAGTTATGGTAGAAGGAATCTCTCCTCTCGATGTGCTATCAAAATTGACTTGATGAAAGCTTTTGACTCAGTAAACTGGGATTATATGTTTTTAATGATGGAGACTATGGGATTCCCTGTCAAGTTCTTGTACTGGATTAAACTATGTGTTAAGACTTCTAAGTTTAGTATTTGCATCAATGGGGGACTCTGTGGTTTCTTTGGGGCAAAAAGAGGGGTAAGGCAGGGGGATCCTCTCTCCCCCTACCTCTTCACCATTGCCATGGAAGGGCTATCTTCTATTCTTAACAGAGCTGCTGAAAGAAAGCAACTGATTTACCACCCTCAGTGCAAGCACATAGGTTTGACTCACCTATGCTTTGCAGATGACCTTCTGATCTTTACAGAAGGCTCTGCACAAGCAATATGCAAAGTTCAGGAGCTGTTGTCTATTCTCTTTCTGGACTGAAATGTAACCCGAGCAAATGTGAAATTTATTTTGGAGGGATATCTGAGCTGTATAAGGGTAATGCTCTTCAGTTGTCTGGGTTTCAAGAGGGAAAACTCCATGTCAGGTACTTGGGGCTCCCATTATTTTCAGGGAAGCTTTCCTCAGCTGATTGTGATAAATTGGTTGAGAGAATCACTCAGAAGATTGGGACTTGGCGTGCAAAGAAATTGAGTTATGCAGGTAGACTTGAGTTGATTAACTCTGTTTTTATGGGCATCCTGCAATATTGGATGCAGGTTTTCCTCCTTCCCAAAAAGGTTTTAAAGAAGGTGTATGTTGTATGCTCAAGATTCCTTTGGCATGGGGGTAATGAGGGTAGAGCTAAAATTGGCTGGGAAAGACTGGCTCGACCAAAAGGAGAGGGGGGACTGGGCATCAAGGATCTCCTGGCTTGGAATAGAGCATGTACTATTCGAATGATTTGGCTTCTGATGATGAAAAGTGGTGCAATTTGGGTGGCTTGGATGTGGAAATACAGAGTCAAACAGGGTAGTGTTTGGACCATGAATGTGAGTCCAAGTAGTTCTTGGGCATGGAGAAGGGTCCTCAAGCTTCGACCTTTACTTCAGGCTCATCTAACAATGGCTGGTGACCCTCCTAGTTGGGATGGTAAGCTGATTCCTGTTTATAAGGTATCCACTGTATGGAATACTCTGCGTATTGAACATCAACAAGTGGATTGGTCAAAACTGGTCTGGTGTAAAAAGCATCTGCCTAACAATAGTTTGATCACTTGGCTAGTTTTGATGGAAGTTACTACTACCAGGGACAAGCTGGTCAGGTGGGGTAAGATCCTGGATGGCTCATGTTTGCTTTGCAGGGGGGCCTTGGAGACCAGGGAGCACTTGTTTTTTCAGTGTCCTTACTCACTGCAGGTTATTTCTTGCTGGAGGGGAGGTCATCTGCTCTGTAGATCGAGTTGGCAAGAGAATGTGCAGGCTGCTGTGGCTTTGAGCAAGAAGGGTTCCTCGATTGGGAGGGTAATTGGAGTCTTCTGGTGTGCCTGTATCGCATACCTGTGGCGTGAAAGATGTAATCGACAGCATCAAATTGCTCCAAGGGATGCTGCAACTCTCAGTAGATTAATTACTTATGATCTTTTGTATTTGGGTAGTGTTGACAGTGATTTACAGACTGACCTGGTGGCTACTGGTTTCCTATAGTCTGGTTTGGAGAGCTTAGAGTAGTCAGGTGGGTTTGTGGGGGGAGTTGTTCCCTTCTCTGCAGGGTTACTTGTCTTGAGTAATCCTTTCGTTGTATCGGGCACTATATGTAATTTGCATATAGTTTGGTAATACAATTGCAACTGATTCAACGAAGAAAAAAAAAATCGGGTTCGTCGTTTTGTCCCGTTAAAAATGAAGGATTGTAAAATTACACCGAATGTTATAATGGAAAGTTAGTAATAGGGTATTTTGTAATAAAATCATGGTTTAATTGAGGTTCAATCATTTTTCATCACAAAAACTTTTTAGCGATATGGGTGGGTATTTTCGGTCTGACCGACTGATAGTGTTGGGTTTCTTAAATATTGGTAAAACCATGATAGCGCGTAAGGTCATCTACAACAAGTAGGGCTACAAATGAGCTGAGTTGCTCGCGAGTGGCTTGACGTTCGACTCGGGAAAAACTAGTTCGAAACTCGACTCTTTTACTAACGAGCCGAGTTTGTGCTAAACTTTGTTCAACTCGCGAGCTAGCTCGACTCGGCGGTTTGTTGAGTTCAACTCGTGAGCCGGCTCCTTTAGAGATCATGAGATGTCTCAACATTGTGGTTAGAGAGCCAACTTAATCACTGACTTATGAGTGAATCTATCTATATCTTAGGAGTTGGATTTTGATAATTCATAGGATTGTTAAATAATATATCTCACCTCATATGAAGTTAACATGTTGAGCATGTAAGAAAATACACCTTTTTAATTTTATAAAGAAATTATGTATCATAAATTAATTACTTCGATACTATGAAACAACATGATGTGAACTAGTTAAAATATATTAACTAAATAATATGATATCAACAAAGTATAATATGAGATTAATTAATGTTGAACATTTGACTATTATTATTTTTCATCATGACATCAATCACATGTACCATACATGACATACAATTGAATGTATCAAATATGAGCTAAAGATTTTAGTAAACAAGAGTAGCTCGAGCTCAAACTGTGTAAAACATGACTCTACTCGACTCATTTTATAGTTCTAACTAAAATACCTAGGTTTCATGTATTGGCTCTCCTTGTCTTTGATGAATTCTTGAGATTTCGTCTATGAATTCCTCTAACATCCATGGTGAAAAGTACTCGTCTGGGAATGCTTGTGCAACCTCCTCCCATGCCCTGAACGTGCCTCTTGGATGCATGTCCCGCCAGACTCAAGCCTTCCCTTTTAATGAGAGGCGGAAAAGCTTCAGGCATATAGTCGCTTCTTCTTGTCCTTCAATGCTAGATCAGACATAATTGAAGTTCCTAATATTCTTCACTAGATCCTTGTCATCTTCTCCATCAAATTGTAGTGATGTCCTCACCATCTCTATCCAAGGGGTTTGAATCTCCATGTCATTTGAATTATGGATGTTGCATTTCATGAACTTTGAGGCCTTGAGTCGGAAGTACTCGAACAGGGTCACCATCTTGCTTCGTGATCCACACCTTGGTTCCTGAAATGAAAATGGAAAATCGTAATATCCTTAAACAAATAGCTTCTTTCGAATACACAATCAAAAGTCCCCGACAACGGCGGCAAAAAACTTGATGCAATAAAGATTATAGTAATAATCCTATAGATGCCTAGGGTCATATTCCACGAGGTCTTTTGATGGTAGCTACTCAAAACTAGATGCTCAAGTGATTAGTAGAAATAACAGAAAGTGAAAAAAATGCGTTGAGGTTCCCTATTGAATTCGAGTAACACACTAAAGAAAGAAAGAGTATACGAGGCAAAGAATGAAAATAGAGCAAGTAGGAAACAATTGTTTAGGAAGTGTCATCTAGATGGTCATGATACTTTCTCCTGGATAATATGTGTATATGTATCGATGCTTTGACAACATCATATCCTTTCCCCTAAGCCATTCCCTACCCGTGCATGCAACTCTTCCGATAGGAAGTTAACTAGCAAATGCATGCTTTCAATTATGTCATCAACTAATTAATGAAGGCAAGGAAGGATAGCTAATTGTTATCTATAGGCATCTATGAGCCATAACGATGCTCTATGGTTTTGGGGATTTTCAAACATCAAGCATCATCATCATCCGAGTACTTCCCCTCTATACATGCATAATGATGATGCCTACTACACGAGATCATTTTCCTTTTCTCCCATAGTAGTAGTATAATCAACACACATAGTAATTCATCATATCAATATAACTATCAGACAAATAACTAGACCATCGATGCTCCAAGAATGTACATCGATGCTCTAGGACATCTCATTAATTCATTGAAAGTAATACAATATGCATCATAAATCAACATCCCAAACAACAAAGAGTTTAGCTAGTCATGTGAGATTGGGGGATAAAAGCATCGATGGTGTCATTCTCTCCTCAATCCGACAGAGGTTTAGATGTTTTCATGAGTAAAAGTTGTTTTCTAAATGAAGTCTAAGCACCTATTTATAGCACAAGATAGAGGGGTTTTCTAGTCTTTCCCCTCCTAATGTCGGCCAAAACATTCATTCTCCTACTTGGATTCATTTCAATCAACTTGTGGACAAAGTAAATTGCTGAGGAAGGTTGTTAGAAGCTTGGGCACAAGCGGCGACATGGCAGCAATTGGGACCGCTGCTTGTTCTGCTTGTGTGCTGAGCTCCTTGGCCCATGGGCTACCTTTGTTCATCATGTACGCGTCTTGAATATGTTTCCTCCAATGCCGGTTGGACCAATTGTTGGGCCGCCACCGGTATCGTGTCTGCTTGGACCGAGTTTTCCTTCCTTAGGCTTCTCTTAGGCTCATATTGTGATTACTAATAGGCATATGCATCATTAGACCTCGTATTTATCGTGAAAACTCCATATTCTTCTCTTGATAGCTCCTTTTGTCCTCTATAGTTCTTCATTGTTTGATCCAAGTTTCCGTAGACTTTGTTGTACCTTGAAATTCATCAAGAACATACCAAGAAGGCATCAGAGAGTAAAAAAAATCCATTAAAGGTCTATTAAGCCGTCGAAGGGCTTTTCTCTCGGCACGGATTGTCATTTGAGGGTCTGTGTGGGGACCGGATAGCTTTCTAGCATCCCAATTATCTTTCACTACTTTTCATCCCCAATACAGCTCTCCTCCTCACGGACTCGTATGGTAAGGAGATAGTGTGTCTTTATGCGAGTCATGAGACCTCAGCTCTCGTTGGTACTCGACATGTGTGGCAACCCGTCTTTCATTGAGATGAGGATTGAAGGTTTTGAAGTGGTGCTCGGGCAATGAATCTGACCATCATGTTTCCCACATGTGGCTGAGATTGGGAAGGCAATATCCTTTCGCTCTTGGTCACGAGGGAGAGATACTTTAATTTGCAAAATTGGAAAAGTGTGGTGCCATGTGCATCAAAGTTTAATTTGAGGCTAAAAAATTTGAGTCCACTTTTGAAAAAGAAAGTAGGAGCACCACCATGGAGGCCATCGTTTTCATGTTTTCTTGAGAGTCCCCCGGTGCATCGTAAAATGTCAAGACCTCCTTAGTTAACAAGGTCCCCATCTGAGAGTGTGTGTTTCACGAAGAGATTGAAGTAGCGTTCTCTCATCTTCGATTGTCTTTGAGGTGATACCAACGAACTATAGTGCATACCATTGTGAGTTTCTTGCATTTTTTGCACTTATGTGAGTTAGGTTTGCTAGAGGAGAAGCAAACGTTCAAGTGTGGGGGAGTTTGATTCGGGTGCATTTTAACATGTTTTATCCCTTCATATCTTTGATTGTTTGACTTGTAAATCAACTTTCCTTGACCTATTTTATGCTAGGTTGTGCTTCTTTTGTCACATTTCAGGTCCTGGTACGTGTGGGAAGGTTGGGGATGAGTTCTGGGCCATTTAGAGGCTAAAACGAGCCAAAAAGTGGAGTCTATGCAAGGTTCACGGGCAAGGCATAATGTTCACGCCTTGAGGGAGTGAAAATCGCACCAAAACAGTGAATTTTTCAATTTTCTAGCATCCTTTGTGCATCTCGTGGTCTATGCACACTTCACGCCTTAAGGGGGTGAAAGTAGCATTAAAACCGTGAAGTGTGCACAAAATAGTGTGTTTTGTGCCGAGAACACGTTTTTGAACTGTTCACGGCCGTGAAGTAAACACCAAAAACGTTATCCTTGCACTACTATGAGTATAAATTAATAGCAACGGGTTTTTAGCAAAGGGGAGCTGAGTTTTTTACCCCAAAACACTCAAGGGCCGATTCTAGAGAGAGTGACATAGGAGGGTTCTAGGAGATATTTTGGACAATAAAATCACCGTTGGAGATTGAAGAAAATCCCCTAGAAGATGAAGATTGAAGATTCTAAGCTTATAATGTATTCTCTATCCTCTTCTCCATGAATCTTTCCTTCTCTTAGGTTGATGAACCCTAGGTCTAGATGTTGGTTTGATTGTTGATGTATGTGGCATATTCTATGTTTTTGAACTCTTATTATCTATTTGATTGATGTGTGTGTTGAATTGCATGAGTCTTGATACCTCTTCATGGCAATTGATCTATTGACCTAGGAGGGAGAACATCCCCTTAGGTTGAATAGAGAATCTTCAATAAGGTCTATAGTGTCGTATTGAGTAGAGACATGTGGGTATTTCCCATTTGTGAGAATTTGTGGTGAACAAATCAAATTCCTTTGTTGGTTGTTCGGTACACTCCAAGTAGCGTAATTGAGCGGGGTGGATGCACTCGAATAGAGGGTCCAATATACTGTAGTATTCTCCACGAAAAAAATATCAAGTCAATCAATCTAGGATCGTACTAAAAAATCGATCCATTTGAGGAGCTAGGGGGATTCGAGCCTAAGAGAGCTCCCAAACTTGTAATTAACGAGGGTAGTGGTTAGATTAGTGTAGTTAGTTTAGTCTCAATCACTATTCTTGGTAAGCTAGATAATGAAACTTAAGCCAAAGTAAGGACTATCTAGAGACTTGTGATTTCATAATTTTATTACTTGCTTACCATATGCTATACTTGCCCTTCGATTGGGAATTTGTAGTTAGAAAGAGCCAATCGAATAATGTAACACTCAACTAAGTCAACTTAGGTTCACCTAGGCCTAATTTATGAAAAAGCTTGTAACGCATTACATTGATGATTTCACCTAAATCCGCCAACGGTTTTTCCACATGAAATGCACCAATGCTTAAGGGAATAGTAAAACTCCCTGGATCATGTTACTTCTGGGTGTGTTTGTTTTGGATGATGGTGGACCACTCCTCTCTCAATGTGATTGATTCGAGGTCTTCAAACTTCCTTTTCTTTGTGAGTAGCTCTTTGAGGAGCTTGGATTTTTTTTTTGTATTAGATCCAAAGATTCCACGAGTGGAACACACACATGGAGCTTTTTAAGCATCTCCATGAACTTTGAATATTCTGCCTCCAACTAGTATTTATGCATTCATGTAGGGAAAGGAATTGTACTCAACTACGGGTGGTGGTGTCTGCTTTACCTTCTAAGCATCTTCCTCCTTAGATTCTTGCTGAGGTGTCTGTGGAGGGAGTTCTTATTTTACAACTTTATTTGGTGCTTCCCTTTTATTATCTTTCCCGCAAGATAGAGTGCAACTTCGCCCTTTGGTCCTTGGGTTTGCTATAGTTTGAGACGGGAGAGCTCCTTAAGATCTCTCGGTTAGGGCCTCAATGAGATTGGCGATTTGAATCTCCAAGCCTTGGAGACTAGCTTGATGACTCCTTATACCCACTTTGACCGATGAAAATTTGCTTGTAGAAACCTCCATGAACTTCTAAATCTTCTCAAAGTTTTGAGAGCTCAAACTTGAAGGTAGTGATAAGGTTTTCAAACTTGGTTAGCTTTTCGGATTGTTGTTGATGTTAATACCCTTGTCCTCCTTGTGGTTGATATTGTTGAGATTGGAAATATGGAGCTTGAAATTGTGTCCTTTGTTGTGGAAATGGGAGTCGTGGTTGATATCCACATGTAGGTCCTTGGAAGCCCGGTGGCCTTGGGTTTGTTGGTGATCCCCATGATAAATTTGGATGGTTGTGCCACCTTGAGTTGTAAGTGTTGCTATAGGGACTGTTGTTGTTTCCCATACCATTTGAGATTACTTTTACTTGCTCCTCGGGTTGGTGGCTTCCATCATGATTTCAAATTCCTCCAACACATGGTTGGGACTCGAGCACCATTCACAAACCATCACATGATTCTTCCCTCAATTACTATCTTTTGCTAGCATCTTGATTAAACCATCAATCGTCTTCGCATTAAGCAAGGTACATGGACACCCTTGTCTCATATCCATTGGCCGTTTATTTCTTCTAAGAGTGTGGTCATTTGTTGAGGCATCTTGTTGAGCATGTTAGGTTGGCACAATGAGCCGATGAGCATCCTGTCTTCTTAGAAAAGACCGTTTCCAACCTGGAAGTCCTCATCAAATCCATGGCGAGGGCATTGGATGAGTAATCGATGTAATGTTCACATGCATCCCTTAAGGTCTCATCTTCATCTTGAGCAAATAATGTGATTTGCCTTCGAATCTCGGTGGTCTTGGATGGCGGGAAATACCTTACCATGAACTTTTAGACAAAATCTTCCCAAGAGGTAATAGAGGAGGTTAATTGTTGAGCCAACTTTGAGGTTTACCACTTAGACAGTAAGGAAAGAGTCTCAATCTAAGGGCTTCTTGGGCCACACTATTCATCTTGATGCCGTCACTTAACTAATAGAACCGATTGATGTGCTATCTTGGTTACTCGTTGTCGAGGAAATGGAATTGGATATTACTTTGGATCTGGGAGATGAGGTTAATTTTGATCTCAAATTTGTTTGCCGCCCCTGGTGGATGTCTGCTCAATTGAATATCCTCCACTCGTGGGGACATGTAACATCCCATGGTTCTCACCTCAATCACCTTGTTGCGCTGGGTTGTTGGGCATGTTTTCAGCTACAATCTCCTCTTCAGATTCCCCTTCCTTTTCTTCTTCAAACTCCCCTTCTCTAGGTTGAGCGCGAATCACTAGTCTCTCCCTAGCTTCCCTTAACTCCCTCTCTCGTGCAAGATGTCAGAGAGTTTGATTGATGTTGCCATCTAGTGGCTCCACGTGCTCTGAGTTACTCCGGGTCATGTACCACCTGAAACTCACTTCAAACAAACACAAACTTGGAAAACATATGCAATTGCAAGAAGAATGAAAGCTAGATTAACAATAGTTCACTTTTTTCATAATAAGCCATGAGTCCTCAGCAACGGTGCCACAAAAACTTGACTCGCGACTAACTACTGCTATCCCAATTAAAGGCCACATGCGACCTCTAACCAGGTGTAGTATAGAGAGCATCAATTTTCATGAATAATACCCAACTCAATAGATAATCACGAATATTCAAGATGCAAATCGAGGATAGGGTTCACAAACAATCAATTACAAAGTACTAACTAGGTTTCCACAACACCCAAGTGAAATGGAGAACACTTCATAGCTAGGAAAAGAAATACAACCAAAATGGAGAAGATAATCATCATAGGAAGAAGATTTTACTTCTTGGTTGCTCTTGGTGGATAAATAAAGCTTCCAATGGTGGTGGGAAGCTACAAAGCTTGGAGATCTCTAGCTTTGTCACTTTCTCTCTCTACCCAGCAAATGGACTTTCTCACTCTCAAACTCTTCTCTTGAATTCTTATTTATACTCCTTTATATAGACAGAAAGTGCACAGTTCACTGTTGGTCGTCACGATCATGAACTTTGCAACTAAACCATGAGGTCGATTGGATGTGCACCGTTTCTTTAACAATCTTCATGATGAGGCCATGGGATTTGCAACTGCCCGTGATATGACCTCAACTTCCTGGGACTCTGCAGACCTCACACTTTTCGTGTTGATGTCACAATCTACCAACCGTGACATTTGCACATGCCTACGAGATGTCGTCTTTCCTCTACGAACCATGCAATCTTCACGGTTTTGATACAGCAATCACGCCTTGGTCGTGAGAAAATGCCTTGTTTGTACCTGAGCTTTGACATTTCTCATCATTTTGTCCTGTTTTGGCTCTCTTTTAACATAAGTTTAAGTTTGTTAAGTATTCATAGCAGAAGGGTATATTTGTGCAAAGAAAAAATTGCAAAGGGGGGCTTGTAATAATGAAGGGGTATAAAATGCTATTATTCCATTTAAGAATGTTATTAATTGGGTAAATGACACATTTGGTCACTGAAATTACTAAATCGTGTCATGTTTAGTCACTAGAAAAATTTAATATCAATTTTGATCACTCGAATTACTGAAACACGCCACATTTAGTCACTCTCTCGTTAGCCTCGGTCCAACTCCGCTCAATTACTTAAACGTGTCACATTTAGTCACTCGAATTACTGAAAGAAGTCACATTTAGTCACTCTTCCGTTAGTTTCCGTCCAACTCCATTAATGAAAGAGTGACTAAATGTGACTTCTTTCAGTAATTCGAGTGACCAAAATTGATATTAAATTTTTCTAGTGACTAAACATGACACGATTTAGTAGTCTTAGTGATGAAATGTGGCACTTACCCGTTATTAATCTTTTCCACAATATAGGAAATTTTCATATGAATTATCCACGGTAGGTACCCATGTCCCATGCACCTGCAAATACCCACTAAATTAAATTCTCTTTCAAAACCTGTTACCGATTTTCTCTTTCAAAACCTGTTACCGATTTTTATGATATCCAAATCTAACCCACCCACGACCCACCCATGGTAATGGAGAAATATATATTTACGGTTACTATGAACTGACTAGTACAGTAGATTGGCTGAATACTGCGAGTGATGAGATTGTTAATGCCCACGAGCCCATCCATTCTGGGTGCTCTCTCTCTAGTGGAGATACAAGTAGCTGCATCGTTGAAATGAAACCATAATACAAAGCAAACTTACCAATGCGATCCACCTCATCCATCCAATCAATTTCTACCCTCACCGGGTAAACTCTGAACTCACCAGACACCAATCAACCACTAAACAGATTTCACCCACTCCATTGACCACCACCTCTGCACCATCATCGTCTAATGCAATTAATAGCAAATGGACAATCTGAAACTGAGAGAGTAGTGCAGCACTTTTCATCATTCATAATAACACCGTTCTCTCATAATCCAGTCATGTTCATTGCAGAACAATATGAAGAAAATGAGAAACAAAGGGTGAAGACTTGATAACCCAGTGCATAAACAAACAAAGGAAAGCAAAACTCATACACAGCACCAACAATCACTACTCGGTCCAAGATCAACCATCCCCAAATGGAAAACTTGGGTCGACAGCCAAAAGTAAATATGATCCTGTTAGCAGAACAGTGAGCAATAGGCTGACCTCTCTGCTTGGCACATCCCAGCAACTTTGAACCAAGGGAGAGAAGCAGGATCAAACCTTGTAACAAAACTTAAAAATTCTGAATCAGAATGTTGTCTGTCAATCTAAAAATGCAACACCAGATCACTCAACAGTAAAATAAAAACCATCCCCTCTTGGTTGAGATATCAGCAGGCTATAGAATTCTCCTCTTAGTGATCATCAAAGTGACACATCTATCCCCAAACTATACTAGCAGGGACACCACTCAGACCTGGGAACTTCAGATCAGGAAGCTCCTAGTTCCTGCAGAACCATCAAACCAAGAAGTAGGCAATTCCAGGCCAAGCAACGTCATTTTATACTTCAGAACTCCCACTCCCCCGGCATTCTCTGGAAGCATGATTAGTCAATTTAAGCTTTACTTCTTTATGCACCACTCTTGGCCAACTGTAAGGATATGAACCACGCCATCTCTTCCAGCCAACCTTGTTCAAATAAGCCAAAACATTAATAGCTGCCACTAACAAGTTGCAGGAAATCACTAGGGAGTACACAAAAAGGAGCCAACAATCATGCCAAAAGTTTAACGCAAATTCCCTGACCTGGCTGGCTGGCTCCACAACTGTGCTACTCCAAGGAATCTTCATTAATCCCCAATCATATTTCTTCGAAAATATCACAGCTTGTTTAAGGACTTCTCTATTTGCCAAATGCAGCAGGAAGCTCATACCTGTCTAATAATAACCTTTACCACCCTCTTTTAAGCAGTGAACCAATGATACTAGTTACACCGCAGAGCTATATCCAAGTTCCTCAACTCCCAAATGCTCAAAATCGTGGATTGAGTATTTCAGCTGGAAAATATGCATCATTTTGTTACGAGCTACCAAAATCTGAAGAATAAGAAACAAACCTTAGTTCCCCATTCCCAGTCTTGGAAGCTTTCATGTACCCAAACACAATGGCAATCAAGCTGAAACAACACGCAACACTTTCTTACCATTAGCTACATGATTGCTCAATAACCTGATCAACCACCTTTTCCCTAACATAACACAAAAAACATGGCTGGTGAAGTAGGCCTAAAAAAGATCACATATATGAGTATTGGCGGACCCATTAAGTTGAGATCCCAATCACTTAGCTTGTAAAGCAGAATTCTTTTACCTGCTTAACAATGATTAAAACCCAAAAAATCTCTTGGCACAAGCACAGATAGCAAGGTAAGATACAGATGTTAACCAACCAGAAGAGGAATATCCCAAGGCTTCCGTTGCTGCATTACCCAAATAGCACCAAGGTGAATCAGAGAACATATAATCCTTGCCCTTCCAATAGCACATCCTGTCCTTTTACTGCTCTCCTGTACAGAAAGAATAACCAAATGAGATGGACAGAGATAAAGCAGTGGAATGGAAATCAGCTTTTTGTCATAAGAAAGATAATGAAACACAGTGAGCAATTTAAAACTCAGTAATTACACACTTAGAACCCCTGCAAAATTGAAATTTACATATAAAAAAAAGCACAAAACCAAGTTAGAGAAAGTAATTGAACCAATAACAAATATGTAATGAATTAAGTTAGCCTCGATCCCTGCATAAATCAGTGGAAATACCAGATAACTATAAGGGCCTTTCATTTGAAGATCCTGACATAGACATAGCCTGTATCAGATGAAATCAAGAGGCACACTACAGACAGTCATTGAATTTGAAGTTAAACGACACATACAAGGAAAAGTCCCATCAAGTGTAACCCTGACAATGTAACAATATATGTGACAATCCACTAAAGAAGCTAGAAACAGCCACGAAGAGAGAAAGACACTCTATGCAACTATGAAAAGGAAGTACAAATCCGGGAAAAGGACACCACAATAGTATGATGCCAACCAAAATGAATCCATCAATCACTAGAGTCAAGATTCAAACATAAGACTATCGTAAAGCTAAACTCAGCTTTATTCATAATGAATCCTCCGTCAGATAATCTATGTTTAACGAAGTACTAAATTGCATTAAACATAAACTGAAATAGAGTTCCTACAGCAAGGAGAACATATCCAGTCCACCACTGGAGTCCCCGCATTAAGCTTAGTAATCAATATTCAATCCAAAGGATAAAGTAAGAAAGTAAAGAGGGGAAGAGAAAGAGAAAAAGGAAAAAGAGGTGAAGAGACATAATAAGCGTAAGGAGCAAAGAGTCACTTCAGTTATTTGACAGATACATCTAGCTCAAATCCATGCCATCTCCGACTTGGCTGCAGATTGGACTGACAGCAGCAGCAAAAGCTCTCTTGAAAGGTGAAGGATGGAAGGCTTCCCTCCTGCGCTTAAAACCACAGGTATCTGGAGGTGATGTCTCAGCATCAAGCTTCCTACGGACTCCTCTGATGGCCTGTTCCTCAGAAGGTGAGAGAGGGAACATCTTGCCACTTGCCCGGCACAGAGAAGTATGGTTATCGTACAAGATCCTCTGGTTACAATTCTTGTCACAGATGTGAGTGAGACCCGTTAGTTTGCAGAGGTACATGTTACCACAGACGTGCTCATTCCGACACTTCCAATTACATTTGTGAACAGGAACCGACCCATCACGCCCCAGAATGGTGGACAGATAAATAACATTGCCGGGAACAGAAACCATGGGTTTGCCACAAACTTCCATTGCTAAAAATTGCTTTCAGCTTTCAAAAGCTCTCGCCTTTCACACGCCCTTCAACGCAGGAGTTCTGCAGAAGGCGAGAAATTGGTCAAAATGGGTTTCCCTTCTCTAACTCCCAAATCCAGATGCCACAGTTTATTTCTCAACACGGTTGGTCAAGGAAGAACCCCCAGCTTCAGATGGGAAATGGGAAATTTGGTTGTTGGGTAGGCAGAAAGTAGAGGAATGAATGATCAGCACGGTAAGGGTGCAGATCCAGTCTAAATAAAACGGATTCTCGGGAGCTCATACTGACTTGAAGAATTAAAAATAAAAGACTAGTAGCAAATCTAATATAACATTATCTAAACAGGATAAAGCTGAAAGGGTTCTTAAAATTCACGGTACACTTATTAGATCAGAATAAAAAGGGGAAAGGGGGAAGCGAGGATAACATAAACAATCACTCGCCCGGATCTGAGTTGCAATTGATAGTTTGGTACGGTGGAAACAAAACTAACAACCAAAAAGGAAAATAAGAGAGACAAAAGATAAACTCACTTGATCTGGAGAGGAAGGAAGCAAATGGACGGCGGACCTGCAAGGAAGAAAAGGGTCTCTCTCTAAATCTCTCTACCTGGATACCTTGTTTGTGTGTCGCCAACAACAATAATTGACCTAAACAAAATTGAAGAAAGGAGAAGATTGAACACAAAACAAAATTACAAATTCCCCACCGCGCTCTCTCTCTCTCTCTCTCTCTCTCTCTCTCTCTCTCTCTCTCTCTCTCTCTCTCAGCCAAAGAAAACCAGAAACTGAAGAACAAATGAAGAAAGAAGGCAGAGGAAATGAAAGGAACATAGCAAGAACCAAATGGGAGAGTGGTGTGGGATATTTATAGAAGGCCGAAGCCCCATGGGGCGGAGCTGACTATGGATTATGGAACAATTGGATGTGAGCTTCTCTCTCACAGTCACCCTCCCCACTTCCATTTTCCTTTCAGCGCGGAAAAAACCTACAAAAAGTGGACGGAACAATAAAATAATGGTTGTAGATCTCAAGTTTAGTCACTGAGTTTACTAAAACGTGTTATCTTTAGTAAATAGTAATTGAAAAAAAATTAATACAATGTTCGTCACTCGAATTAGTAAAATGGTCCACGTTTAGTCACTCTATGTTAGCCTTCGTTAACACTGTTAGTCAATTATTTAAGTGGCTAACAGAAGTGCCGAATCAACGGATTTTAATCTGCAACATAACCAAATCCGACCCACCATGTCATCTTTCCCAACCCAACCAACCTATGAATCGACTAATCTCTCTCCTCTTCGCTTGTCCCTCTCATAACTAATAATAACCTGTCGTCGAAGACCCCGCCCAAGTTGGAGACATTGGAAGTCGGATCGACATGGACGTAGATGTTAGAGCGGTCCCGCCGAGGGCGGGCGGAAGAATTTCTCCCATAACGAGGTGAAATGGAGGTCGGTGTTCGTCAGAAAGTGGAACGTGATCTTGAGCTTGGGCTTGGAGGAGGCGAGGTGGGAGAAGGAAGAAGGCAGTCGGGCCCGGGCGGATGCGCCACGGAAGAGGGAGAGATTGGGACGGAGGAGGGACGCAGGGGGAGGATTCGCGGGCGAGGAGGAAGAGGATCGGGAGGGAGAAGGAGGATGTCGGCGGCGGCGGACCGGGAAGAGATGGAGGGGAATGTCGCCGACGATGCCTGTTGTCGTTGGTCGGCATCTCTGTGAGAGCTTCGGATTGAAGAGAGGAATGGATTGTGCTTAAAAGGGGAGGGTAATGGGGGAAGGTTAGGGTTTCAAAAATCTAGGAATTAGGCTATTTGGTTTTCTGTTGGGAAGAGAAACAGAGAGGAGGAGGGAGATGGAGTAATGGCGGGTTTTTAGGGACAGTAGGAAGTTGGGAAAGAAGAAGGAAGGAAGAAAATGCTGAAAATTAGGAGTAATGGCAGATTTTTTGTTTCATTTATTTTAATTTATTATTTTAGTGATGTGAAAATATTAAAAACAAGTAAAATTAATTTTTAATAATTTTTTAATTGTCACGTCGACATTTAACGATCAACTGTTAGGGTTGACTGTCACATAGTTAAAGTTAACGGAGTGTGACTAAACGTGGACCATTTTAAAAACTTGAGTGACCAAAATTGATATTAATTTTTCCGATCGTGCTCGATACAGTCAACGCGGGAAATCTCAGTATTGATCAGGTATGGGGCGGGTTTTGGGTAAACCCCATAAAAAGTTTGATGGGTATGGGGCGGGTATGTTTTAGCCTCTCCCGCCCCATACCCGCCCCACCAAGAATATATCTTCACTTATAAAAAATACATGGATCAAATTGCAACCTATCAATGATAGGTTGGTAACTTAAGACAATATATAGTAGAAATGCAATTGAGTGGCTACCCAAATTCAAATCTAATTCCTTTACGTCAATTCTCCCTTCATTCTTTCACTTTTCCCTCTTGTTAACAAGATAATTATGTTAGTTAAGTATTACCTAGTAGATGTATCAGAGTTAGAAACTAATGATTTGGAAAATATTACACTCTATCTTATCGATTAATAGATGCTTTAGGATATACGATTTGAACCGTATTTAGAATGATTGTATCTTTGTGGAGTTAATGATATATTATGTATGCTTAGCATTATAATTAAAATTTTACATGTAAAGTCTTACGTATAATGTGTTGGATGTACGGGGCGGGTATTACCCATGGGTATCCAAAATCCACGGGTATGTGGATGGGTTTGCAAAATCTTTCCCCGTATGGGTATGGGGCGGGTACGGATTTGGATATTTGAAAGCGGTGATGGGGATAGTTTAGGCAAACCCGCCACATTGCCATCCTTAATTTGAGCTGTTTAATACATTTTATAAATATATATACATATAAAGTAGTAATTTAAAATTTTAATAACTAAAATAAATTTTATCTTCTATGTGATTCCTTGCAAGATTGACCCTCAATTAACGATCTCACTAACTATTAACCCTGACAATGGCAAGTGTACCAATGTCAAGCTTGTAGTATAGCAGCACGATCGCATTCCCTAGAGATCGTCGATACCCTAGCCTACTCCTGTCAAATCATGTTGTTATCTAATCGACAGTTTGTTGCTTTTGATACTAAGTAATTGCTTAACGGAAGCGACAATAATGGAAACAATGATACTTGGGGTGTCACGGCTGTTTCTCTGCAGATCGGCAAATAGGAGGATTCGACAAAGTAAGAAAATGAAAACAAGAATGAATATGACACACAATTTATGTGGTTCACTTACACAATGTGTGTTAGCTAGTCCATAAGCAGGAGAGAGACAGTTTCACAATACTTCGAGGAGATACAGATTACAGAGGAGTATAAGAAGTATTTATAGTACTACTCCATGGTCTAACCCTAATCCAATATGGTAAAGGAAAGCAGTTACAACCAGGCCCAAAACAGCAACCCAAACGTGTATCGGCCATACATCAAGTCGTTAGCCATATATTTTGATTCAAGTCACATCAACAAATATCCACCTTCACTTGAATCCTCTTCCTCTGAAATCTCTGTTGTACTCTGATCCTTCTCTCCCTCCTACTATCAATGCCCCTTAGGGATGATTCACTCACTCAGAACATTCATCTAGTCAAAGCAGTGTTCGAGCTTGCCATGTGAAACCGGCTTCGTGAACATGTCGGCAGGATTGTCTGCAGTGCCAACCTTCTTTACTAATCCTCGTCTCTGTTCTGAAAAAATGATACCTCGCATAGATGTGTTTAGTCCTCTAATGGTGATCCTTGGCCAAGTATATTGCACTCAAACTATCGCAAGATCCGGTCTATAGCGTACATCACACTACCTACTGCACTAGCATATGGGACTCTCGACGTGTACTCCTTCTCAGCCTCTGATTGTGATGCATAAACTGAGGATAGATGAACATTTGAAGCACTAGGAGTATTCAAGGGCTTTGCTGAATACATGTCAAACCTGGACAATATCTTCTAGATATAGCTCTTCTGTGACAAGAGAAGCTTCTTATTCTCTCTATCCTTGTAAATCTCCATACCCATAATCTTCCGAGTAGCTCCCAAATCCTTAATCTCAAACTCAGCACTAAGAATCCCCTTTAACATCTGGATACCAGATGTCGACCTCGCAACTGTGAGCATATCATCCACATATAGAACTAGATATATCATCGAACCATCCTCTGGCTTGTTGTGGTACAAAAAACAATCATAAGGACTTATGTTGTAGCTAGCACAAGCATGTAACTGTCAAACATCTTCTAAAACTGCCTCGGAGATTGCTTAAGTCTTCACAAGGACTTCTTCAACTTACAAACATAGTCTTATTTTTATGGAACCTGGAATCTCTCTGGTTGAGTCATATAAATTGCTTCTTCCAATTCTTCATGTAGGAAAGTTGTCTTTACATCTAGCTGCTTGAGCTCTAAGTCAAAATGTGCCACTATTGCTTGTTACACCCTGATCGAAGTATGTCTGGCCACTCGTGAGAAAATCTCATTGTATTCAACTCCTTCCCTCTGCGAGAAGCCTCTTGCAACTACCCGAGTTTTAAATTTGATGCCGTCTTCAGATGACATTCCTTCCTTCTTCTTGTAGATTCACTTGAAATAGATGAGCATCTAAGTCATACACGTAGACATCGAAACATAAAGCATCCAGCTACATATAAGGCATCGAAAATCACAAACATATCATAAAATCTGTAACATCTCGTTCCGGCAAAACCCATATTTCGATCGTTAGAAAGTTCGCGATTTAAAATCGAGCGTTTTGATAGTATTTCAACGAAAATAGGATTATCGATCGGATAAGTATACGTATTATATATATATATATATATATATATTAATAAGCGGCCATATATAAGTTACCCGTCCATTTCCATCCCATCACATTCCAATTCTTCTTCTTTCTTTTCCGGCCGAGAGAAACCGAGAGTACAGGGCGCGCAGGGGAGACAGAGCAGGAAATTCTCCGAGTTCGACTCTTGAGCTACAGTGATCCAAAAATCCCGTAATTAATGCCTAATCCATCCATACATCGTGATTTATCGATTTAGAGCTTTAAAACGAGTTTTTGGATCAGGAATTTCTTGAATTTCCGATAAGCCAAATTAGGGTTTCGGAGTATCCGGAAGCCGGATTGAGCCCAAATTTCATATACGAGCTTCCTGCAACGAGGTAATCAATCCTCTAGTTCTAATCCCTGAATTTTGGCAATTATTTAGGTCGGGGTCCAAACCGCTGAATTTAGCTCCGGCCAGGGTTTGATGTGTTTTTATCAAGAATTTGACCCGGAGCCTAGAACTAATATTGACGGGGATACTGCAGGGGATATTAGAACGGTCTCGGATTTTAATTCGGGGTTCGTTCGTGAAATTGACGTTTTAGTACGGGAAGGTTAAGCCAGTGTTTGAACTGCCAGAACTGGTGAGGGATTAGCACGGCATACCGGGTTTGTCGTATCACGATAATTATATTGATGCTTAGAATTGATCTAGGTGAACTAGAATGTCATGATTAGGGGTGTATGAACTTTTTTGCTATATGTTGAACCCTGGATTGCTGTATGATATTATTGACTTGCCCTAATCGATATGAACCTTGTTTATGCTGATGATTGTGTATATGTTGCAAATTGTGGGCTGGACTGTTAATATGCTTTACGATGGTTCGAGAAGGTGATTAGGTATGACTTTTCATGATTGTTGTATTTGGATGCACAAGTGGGAAAATATATATTCCCTAGTGATATTATGATGTTTAAGGAGGATGACTTGCACGAGGGTTTATCCCGAGGAAGTGCAATTATACGACTCCCGATTTACCTATGTTGAGCCAATTATGGCCAGGTCAAGTACATGTGCAAGTAATGAATTATGATTAAGCAAGATGAGATATGAATCATGTATAAGGATACCAAATATGAGTGTTGTGGTCTCACGGTCAACTACATAGTAATTAGGGCTCCCTATGCTATTACTCTATTATGATATGTATGATAGTCACACCTCTCATGTGGTGGTGACTGAAGAATTCTTATGAGATATGACCACACCCAGAGCGGTGTCGGGGTATGACTACACCCATAGTGGTGTGGGGTATGTATGACCACATCCGACGGGATGTTGGGGTATGTATGACTACATCCGATGGGATGTTGGGGTATGTTTCCCAGGAGAGTTATTAGCATGGGAGTAGCCAGGCGCCTATAAGTAAAACATGATAAGATGCATATGCATAAGTCAAGATGGTGAGGCTTTTGCCTATTGGGATGTCGGATGGCTGAGATCCGATCCTAGTGTTTTGTTTTGATTGCTAGATGTATGGTAGGGGTATGCTTTGTTATGAACTCACGATGCAATTATTGTCTCACTCAGCCATGAGTTGACCCTCTTTATCCTTTTTCTCTGCTTATGCCATGTGTAAGCAGATCATCAGCATCAGCAGCAGTAGATAGGTGTATAAGTGGAAGCTAAGACAGAGTTGAAGGAAAGATGAGGTACGGTCTTCAACTATTCTGTGTTTGGACTACTACTCGGGATTTTGGCCAGTGATCCACACCTTTTTGTAAAAGAATGTTTTGAGAACGTTTTTCATGTGCATACTAGCTTCTGATGTAGTGTGAGATATTCACAGGTGTGGAAAGTTGATGACATGTGTATATGTTGTGTAACTGTGTAAGTTGTGACGATTATGGTATGTATAAGTATGGTATGCAGTTGTGGAGTATGAAAAGTGTGACTATGGCTAAGAAAAGCCAATGCATATGGTTGTGAGTATATATGTTTGTGATGAATTATTTTGCAGGATAAGTTGCAAGAACTGTTAGCCCATTACGCGGGTAATTCATGTCGAAATTTTATTTGGGTAAATTTTGATAATTAATGTAACACCCGAGATTAATTCCGCTGCAATTGTATGAACAATATTATTAGGCAAAACGTATAGGGTAGGGTGTTACAAAATCATAGCATCAATACATATAACAAAAAACGAGTTCACATCCTACTACAATAAATTTCAAAATAGCAACATAAAAGAGAATGAGGGTACCACCATCGATGATGTAAGCATCTCCCTAGATGCACCCTCTCATACGAAAGCAAAGCTCTTACTCGAGCAAAGTACATAGAAGTTTGAATATAGTTGTGCATCCTACTAAAATAATGAGTCTAGCCCTCTATTTATAGAGGTGAAACTTGGCCAAAACCCTCTTTAACTTAGGGCCGAAGTCATGTCCTAAAGATCTTGTTTTGGGCTTGGGGCTTATGGGGGCGATAATGTGGCGGTTGGGACAAACACACGTTTTCTTCATGGACTGGCCACATTGGCCCATAGATAACCTCTTCTTAAGATTTGGATGTGTTTTGACTATGTCTTTAGGAGCAGCTGTTGGACCAATTGTTGGGCCGCCACTGGTTTATACTTCTTCTTGGGCCGAGTATTCCTCCATTGGGCTTCTCTTGGGCTCAAATTGCGGTCACTAGTAGGCCTATCCGTCATTGGACCTTGTCTGAATCATAAAACACCATATTCTTCTCTTTATATCTTTTTTAGTTCTCTAGAGTTGTCCAATGATTTATCCAAGTTTCCGTAGGCTACCAAAACCATTAAAAACATACTAAAAAAGCATCAAAGAGTTAAAACAACACATCCTAGGTCTATCAAAGGCTCATTGACCAAATCGTTATGATTTATATATGAAATTCAAGAGAAAGGACTAATGATGCATTGATAGAAGGAGAAACTGTATCAAGAATGGGAGTGATAAAACTATAAATAAAGTGTTATCAAAAATACCCCACACATAAAATTTTCTTGCCCCCAAGCAAACACTACTTCTAACTATATAACTCAATGAAACCTAGGAACAATCACTCGACCTTAATCTTAGGTAGTGGATCCTAAGCAACTTACAAGGTCAACAATTGCATAAGAGAATCCTAACCACATCAATATGCAATAATATCATGTCACTTAATCCAAGCATCAACTAATATGAATTAGATTCTCAAAATGATAGGGTGCAGCTTTTGATAAACATTTAAGCTTTGAATGCTTTCTACCATCAACTTGACATTTCTTTAACAACTTTGCCTTATTCATATTCAAAACTCTTTTTCAGTTTTTTGAAATTTCTTCTTGTAACCAACTATTTTTTTTTTCATTTTTAGATTTTATGGTGGCAGAGAGCTCTTTTAAAACTTTAACCTTACAGGTCAAGCAAGAGCTTAGAATATCCTATACCTCAATTCGTATGGAGCGTCAATGAAGTTAAGGGGTATCCGAAGGTTTATTTGTGTCCTTGGAAACACATCCTAA